GCCCTAGGAGCAGTTTTACTGTCATTCATTCTGCAGTGACAGCTCTGTCCTGGGCTTGTGTGCTGACGTTGGCCCAGTGGAAATGGAGCTACCAATGTGCAGCCGGACAATGCAAGTCCTCAGAAAAACTTCACCACACCACTTTACTGGAGCTCAGAGAAAAGAGGACTAACCTCAAAGGAGACCCACAGGCAAGGGACAATTAAGGAGGGACTTTGGAGTTTGATGAGGGCCCCACGGGAGAAAGGGCATTTCACACAGGGAAAAAACAGCTGATGAAAATACACATCACATATTCAGGGATTTGAAAGAACATCCAGTTAAAAATTTAGGGTGGGTGGGGTTGGTTTCCAGAGATGATTCTGGAAAGTTTATCTAGAGCCAGATAAAGTAGGAAACATTGGGTCCACAAGGGTAAATGGTTCTGAATGTCTCCTCTGGGCAAAGGGAGCTATTGAAAGGTGTGTTGGGGTGGCACAAGAAGCAGGCGCCCGGCCCCCGGGCTGGCTGGTGAGCTTAGTGGATTAGATTGAGCAGGGACATTCCCCTGGGGGGTGGGGGGGTGGGGAGGCAGACTCAAGGCAGAATTAGAAGCTATATATGAGCAGGGCCTAATCCAAGACAGCACTGAAGCGGTACCACCAAAAAGAACCGGGTGGGGGACAGGAAAGGAAAGAAAAAGGAATTGAGGGAGATTTTAGGAAGCTGGGGAAGAGCGATGAAATTATGAGTCTGGGTTGATTGTGGTACTTGATAAGAATAGGGATCAACGAACGAGCCTATGGTTTCAGCCGAAAGACCAGTTTCCAGATAATGGGCTGTTCAAAAAGGAAAAGTACATTATTTATTCATTCAACAAAAACTGTATATATAAATATACAGCTAGGCAGGCACCAAACTAGGTCCTGGGGATATAGTAGTGAATGAAATAATAGTCCCTATCCTCATGAAGTTCATTTATGGTGCCCTGGAGAATACTGGTGATACTAAAGAGCCATTACGTTATCAATTAACAAGTCCTGCACTTTACTTAGGAGATCTAATTTGATCCCCATCACTCTCAAGAAATAGGTACTTTTAATATTCCCATTTTACAGAAAAGGAAACAAGCAAAGAAAGGCCTAGTTAGAAAGCAGTACAGTTCAGGATAGGAAACTCCTGGGGGGAGGTGGTGCTGGGGGTTACTGGGAATTTAAGCCAGGAGTCATTTACCACTAAGCTAAATCTCCCAGCTTTTTTTTTTTTTTTTTTTTTAACTTTGAGACAGGATCTCAGTAAGTTGCTTAGCCTTACTAAATTTTTGAGGCTGGCCTTGAACTTGTGATCCTGTCTCAGCCTCTGAAGTTGCTGGGATTATAGGCATATGCCACCGTGCCCTGCTCAAAGCCCACTTTCTTAACTTCTCCATAAGATGGAGATTAAAGCCCTGCTATTCAGGAGGCCAAGGCAAGAGAATCACCTGAGCCCAGGATTTCAAGACCAGCCTAAGACCTGGGTAACACAAGATCCAGTTTCAAAAAATGAAACTGGAGTTTACAGGGAGATTGAAGTGGAAGCTAAGAAAATCCTAGCCCCCTTGTCAAAGTTGCAAGCCCCCTTCACAGTTTTTAATAGGGGTTTCATTCAAAGCCATGTGGGTACTTAAAATCATCCCTTATAGCCAGTCATGGTGGCATATACCTGTAATCTTAATGACTCAGAAGGCTGAGACAGGAGAATTCCAAATTTGAGGCCAGCCTTAGCAATTCAGCAAGATCTTGTCTCAAAATTAAAAAAAAAAAAAGAACTTGGCATGTAGCTTAATTGTAAAGCACCTCTCAATTCAATCCCCAGTACCAAATTTTTAAAAAATTTAAAAAAAAACAACCTTGCTTTCACCTTTTAATAAAAGCAGCTTTTCCTGAGTCCTGTAGCAGTTATGCACCAGACAGCCCAGGCCAGGTCCCCAGAGGGCTGTGTGTGCCTAGAGCCATTCTCAGTTATGGGTGCAGGGTCCTTCACTTAAACACTGGGGTTCTCTCTTTAGTCTATCATACTCCTTCATGGATCCACATTAACCCCCTACCACTTTTGGCGTCCATCACATCACCTGCCAACAAATGAAGTTTGTGTTGTAAGGGAAAAAAAATTATAACTCCAAAGACATTATTAACTTTCATACCACAAAACTTGTAATATCAGTTTGCTGAAATAAAGTCACCAGTATTTAATTCTCCTTTAAAGGGTGTCTTCTATTATTATTATTTTAGAGTGCAATTTAGTCATCAAAGGTTTACTCAGACTCATGTTTATAAATTATATAGAGCAGGGATTTAACTCTTCTGGCCCTACCTGTTCTGAAGAGAGGGAGGGTCATAACCTTGTTGTCGCACCAGGCACCTGCCTTGAAAGGGGATGATTTGTGAACTCCAGGTTCTTAACCTCTTTCAGAAATCTGGGTGAATATAGCGATTTCCCTTTATGACGCAGACGGAGGAATAATCAGTTGCCTGCTAACAGACACTGTTTTTTAACCTTCAGAAGCTCATTTGGAATCTTCATTTTTTTCAACTGAGTTTCAGAATCTTGTCTTAATTATATGACATAATAATAGCGGCTTTCCAATTCATCTGTACAATATCGTTTTTTCTTTGTGCTCGTCACGGTGTTTTTTTTTTTTTTTTGAGGGGGAGGGGCTATTGCCTTAGATAAATAAAAGCATAGCAGAAAGGAATCTGGTTCACTGACTACTTAAGTCGTAAATTCCAAGTCCTGACTTATATGTTTACATCCCGAGGGTGATGGCTGCGATTCAAGGGCTCATCCAAGTTCACCAGGGTGTAGGGACTTAATGCAAAAGTGGCGAATTTCCCATGCAGCCCTCAACTCCTAGCATCCCAAGTGGGTTTCGCCATCATAATGAAAGGGGTGGGGGATGGGGTAGCAGGTGTTTTCCTTTCTTGGTTCCTACGTTTGGAAGGGAAATATTTTCGAAGTTAAAGTAACTGGCTTGGTCCTATGGAGGTGGTGCTGAACCTCTCGAGATGCCAGAGAGGAAGACCACCATTTCCCTGCCGAATCACCTTCCCACTCCCAGCGGCTAGCCCACGCGCCCCTTCGCCAAAGCCAAGCAGGAGGATCCTCACCGGCGTCCAACCCTGGATATTAAGAGATTCCTGTTGTTGGCAGAGTGGCCTGACTCGATTCTTTTGGGGCGAGATACATTCCAAGAATGTTTCTGTGGTCGGCGAGGAGTGGAAAAATCAGGGATAACAAATATTCTGAGGAAACCTAATAGTTACCAGGATCGCGAGATTCAAACAGGTGACAACAACAACAAAAAAGGACGTGGCAAATGGAGTTCCATGAAGGATGAGCGCACATGCAGCGTGGTGCCGGAGTATCCACTCCTATTCCCATTGACCCTCTTTCCTTTTCTTTCCTTGGCCGACACCGGCCAGAGGCAGCCGTCACTGTAGAGGGGGCTCAGAAGAGAGGGCGCGGGCGGAGCCTGGCTCTGCGCGCTGGAATCCAAAGTAAACACCTCGCAAGCCTACGTTTAGCAAGTGATACTGAACACCACACTCACGTTTAAAAAAAAATAAAAAAGTACTGTTTGCAGAGATGAGGGCGAAAACATTTCCCGACTGGAAAATTACTGATCACCAACTAAGGGGCGAGTGGGGTGGGGAGACAGCGTTAGAAGATTGAAATAATGATCTCTTCCTTTCCTCCTCCCGGTGGACGCGGACGGCTGTGCCGGTTCTGTGTGCACTTTGGGGGAACCAGGGTCCCACCTGGGTCACGCCACTTCCTGGCACCTGGCCACTTTCCAGCTAAGTCCCTTTTGGTGGGCTTGACCTATTCGGAGCCTTGGCTTAAAACAACGAGCTATCGTTTGACCTCTACCTCGCCATTTCACCTCTTTATGACTCAGTTTTCCTATCCATAAAGTGGAAAGGAGAGTGCGTAGCTTGTAAAGTGCTTTGAGATGTCTGGTTGAAAGGTGTCTCCGCGCCTCACAGTCCCTCTTCTCTTCTCCACCCACCAAAGTGAATCTTGAGTCCTTTCACTCCTTTCCTCGCTCCTTTAAATATTAAAACTATGACTCTCTTCCCATTCTGGCTTCTCTCCGCCTGTTGCAGGAGCAGAACACTCCTCCAGTCTTCTGAGGCTCCTATTCCTCGCCACCGAACGCTGCGCACCGCCTCCTCTCTATCCCCACCCCCACTAGGCAGGCAGCCCCACGAGGACCCGTGCGAGACCAGGCCCAGCGCCTGCCCCGGCACCGCGGGGCGGGAGCCGGACTCCAGCGTGCGTATGCGAAAGAGGGCGGGCTGGATGAGTCACGCGGATAATCGCGCTCTTCCACAGCGCGCAGAGAGCGCGGCGAGCGCGTACGCGGACAGGGGTGGGGTCGCGTCACTTTCCCCCAAGCCCCCATCAGCCTTCTGGGTAGCCAGCTTCGAACCCTGGGAAGCTGACCATGGCAGCGCGGAAGAACTAGTAGGGCAGCCACCGGACCTGCGCCCGCTTCTCCGCGCCCAGCACCGGAGCCGTCGCCGCCACCGCCGCCGGCGTCAGCAAGGCTCCAGCCCGCCAGCTGGTGGGCTGGCGTCACGACCCAGCCCGGCCCCGCCCGCGCCCCTCCCTCTCCCCCGCCCCCACGTGCGCCGAGTTTGTTTATTTAGCTGCTATGACAACGAGCGGGGGGGCTAAGGGGGGGCGGGGAGAAGAAAGGGAGGGGGCGGGGTCTGACGGCGGACCCTGCCGCGCAGCGGGTAGGAGGCGGGGAAGGAGCTTCCCGAGAAGTTATAAGTAAGAAGCGCGCGGCGGCCGCCGGCAGTTCCCCGGCCCGAGAGAACGAGCGCGGCTGCGGGCGCGCGGGGAACAGAGGCGGTGGCGGGCGGCGGCGGCACCGGGAGCCGCCGAGTGCCCCTCCCCGCCCCCCTGGACCCCCACCCACCCACCCGCCGGTGGCCCGCGCCCATGGCCGCGCGCGCTCGGCGCAACCCCCAGGACTCCGCGCCCTGCGCCGCCGCCCAGCTCGCAGCTCCGCGCCACCGCGGCCATTCTCACCTGGCGGCGCCGCCCGCCCACCGCCCCGGCCACAGCCCCTGCGCCCACGACGACAGCCGCAGCGACCGCGACAGCGGTGGGGGACGCTGCTGAGTCGAAGAGAACTCAGCCTGGCCACCGGACCTACTTACTCGCCTTGCTGATTGTCTATTTTTATAAGAGTTTACGACTTTTCTAAAACTTTTGTATACAAAGGAACTTTTTTTAAAAAAGACGTCTTGAATATATATTTAATCCAAAGAAGAAGAATCTCGGGCAATTGGGTTGTTTCTTTTTTCTTTCTTTTTTTTTTTTTTCTTTTTGGTTTTTGGCTCCGTTTCTAAGGTGTTTTTTTTTTTTTACCCCCCCTCTTGACTTTGGGGTTCGGATACCCCAGCTGCTTCGGGCACCCGAGGACCTTCTGGGCCCCACATTAATGAGGTAGGTAAGATGCGAGGCATTGGGTGGGAAGGGGAATCAGTGGGACGCCACTGGAGCAGCGGTGGAGAGTGGCCCTTGACTCCTGCCTCCCTGTGCGCCCCGCAGGCAGCCACCTGGCGAGTCTGACATGGCTGTCAGCGACGCGCTGCTCCCGTCCTTCTCCACGTTCGCGTCCGGCCCGGCGGGAAGGGAGAAGACACTGCGTCCAGCAGGTGCCCCGAATAACGTAAGTGTCACGCAAGGCTACAGGGAGCACCTAGTGGATTTCTGTGGGTGGTACGTAGTGGAGCGGAACCCGGCGGTCACTTAGAGACCCCGGACAAGGGGAAGGAGTGGCCGCCTCGCGGACTCCACAGCCTTCCCGGGATGGCTTCCACGCCCTTGGGTCGGGTACGTGCGTGTGGTCCCGCACTGCGGTGCCGCCAGGGGCGCGCAGGCGGTAGGGTCCGCGCGGCTGGGCCACCCGGTGGGAGGTAGCCAAGTCCCAAGACATCGGCTCGGCCCGAATGAGCTTAGCTCGTAGGCGGCCCGGTGGCAATGGCGCACCGGGAGAGCCGCGAAGTCCCAATTCCGGGGGTGGCAGGAGAGTCTCGGGGATCTGGAAGGGGGAGGGCCCGGGGCTGGCGGTCCGGGGCGCTAGTTCAGGCAGTCAAGAAGACACGACATGCAGACGCATCAGCTTCCCTCGAACCCGGGTGTTGGCAGAGAGTGCAGCGTTGGCATCTGGAGTCCCCCGGAGCTTTCTGCCCTGCCCATTCCCCAAGTCTGGGAGGTGCAAGTGCGCTTGGCTCGCCAAGAAGTCACTGCGACGGGTGGTTATAGGGGACCACCATTAACTGTCTCTCTCCAACCCTGTTCCCACAGCGCTGGCGGGAGGAGCTCTCCCACATGAAGCGACTTCCCCCGGTGCTTCCCGGTCGCCCCTACGACCTGGCGGCGGCGACCGTGGCCCCAGACCTGGAGAGTGGCGGAGCCAGCGCTGCGTGCGGTGGTAGCAACCCGGCCCTTCTACCCCGAAGGGAGACGGAGGAGTTCAACGATCTCCTGGACCTAGACTTTATTCTCTCCAACTCATTGTCCCACCAGGAGTCGGTGGCCGCCACCGTGTCCTCGTCGGCGTCAGTCTCATCCTCTTCATCCCCATCGAGTAGCGGCCCTGCCAGCGCGCCCTCCACCTGCAGCTTCAGTTATCCGATCCGGGCCGGGGGTGACCCGGGTGTGACGCCAGGCGGCACCAGCGGCGGCCTCCTCTATGGCCGGGAGTCAGCGCCGCCTCCCACGGCTCCCTTCAACCTGGCGGACATCAACGATGTGAGCCCTTCGGGCGGCTTTGTGGCGGAGCTCCTGCGACCCGAATTGGACCCAGTATACATTCCGCCGCAGCAACCGCAGCCGCCAGGTGGCGGGCTGATGGGCAAGTTTGTGCTGAAGGCATCGCTGAGTGCCCCTGGCAGCGAGTACGGCAGCCCGTCGGTCATCAGTGTTAGCAAAGGCAGCCCTGATGGCAGCCACCCGGTGGTGGTAGCGCCCTACAGCAGCGGGCCGCCTCGCATGTGCCCCAAGATCAAGCAGGAGGCGGTTTCCTCGTGCACAGTCGGTCGACCCCTAGAGGCCCACTTGGGCGCTGGACCCCCGCTCAGCAATGGGCACCGGCCTAGCGCGCATGACTTCTCCCTGGGGCGGCAGCTCCCCAGCAGGACTACCCCGACCCTGAGTCCCGAGGAACTGCTGAGCAACCGGGACTGTCACTCTGCCTTGACACTTCCCCCAGGATTCCATCCCCATCCGGGACCGAACTATCCACCCTTCCTGTCCGACCAGATGCAGCCACAGGTCCCACCGCTCCACTACCAAGGTCAGTCCAGGGGATTCTTAGCTGGGGCTGGGGAGCCCTGCGTGTGCTGTCTCTCTGGGGCCCACGACATGATGTTGACCCCACCTTCTTCACCCCTAGAGCTCATGCCACCTGGTTCCTGCCTGCCAGAGGAACCCAAGCCAAAGAGGGGAAGAAGGTCTTGGCCCCGGAAAAGGACCGCCACTCACACTTGCGATTATGCCGGCTGCGGCAAAACCTATACAAAGAGTTCTCATCTCAAGGCACACCTGCGAACCCACACAGGTAGTGTGACAGAAGCTGAGAAAGCAGGCAGATTAGTGTTCCGGGGCTTATAGGATAGCTGTGAACGCACTCCTTTGGGTGCTTGTGGTATATATATGTATAATCTCCTTCATCTCCTGGATCACAGGAGAGGACAGCAAACCGGCACCTGTTTTTTTTTTTCCCCCCCAGGAGCCTTTTGCTTGATGGATGATATCTGCTTGAATATGCAGTTTTGTTAGGTCTTTAAAAGGCAGGGAGATTCCCAGCGGTATGTGGGCCTCTCCTTAGTTGGGCAAAGCGTTGATCTAGTAATCAGGAAATTATACTTTGCCCTGCAAAAAATTGATGGCTTTTTTCTTAAATCAAATTTTAATTTTCTGAATTATTCTCTTTTCAGGCTCACCTTCCGGTTCTAGTTTTAATAATTAGATTTTATTCAAATTCCAATAATTAACTATTAAGGTTCTTGGAGTTCCTAAAATCATTTAGATAATATTGTTCGTTCAAAAAACCAGAAATGGCAGTACAATGGGGGGAAAAGTGGGATAGGATACTTTTGTTTCCTTTGGGCAGAGACAGCATCAATATTTCCAAGTTCATTGACACCACTGTGGTGTCTTGGATTTAAAACAGCCTGATAACAATGTGGATGTGGGCGGTTTGTGTGTTTTCACTGCTTAAGTACTGTTTCCCTAAAAAACAGAGCAAATTCTTATTTACTATTAATGATCTGAAATTTAATGTGGCCCTTTAGGGTAGTATAAAGAGATTTCTAGATTCTTTCACAAGGGGGCATCTGGGGAGTTGATATTAGTATCTGGCCTCCAGTTATAATAGAGGTCTCTTCTTTATTCTGGCTATGGCTTCAGCTTTTTCCCCCCCATTTCCCTTTACAGGTGAGAAACCTTACCACTGTGACTGGGATGGCTGCGGGTGGAAATTTGCCCGCTCTGATGAACTGACCAGGCACTACCGCAAACACACCGGGCACCGCCCGTTCCAGTGCCAGAAGTGCGACCGGGCCTTTTCCAGGTCGGACCACCTGGCCTTACACATGAAGAGGCACTTTTAAATCCCAAATAGTGGATATGACCCACACTGCCAGAAGAGAATTCAGTATTTTTTTTTAACCTTTCACACCTGTCTTCCCACGGGGGGAGGAGCCCAGCTGACAAGCACTACAATCTTGGTCAAGTTCCCCAGGAGTCAGCTTGTGAAGGAACGGATGATCAGTAGAAAGGAGGAATGAAAAAGACAAATCAAAGAACTGACGGGGTCTGTGACTGGATCTTCTATCATTCCAATTCTCAATCCAACTTGAACATGCCTGGACTTACAGAATGCCAAGGGGTGACTGGAAGTTTGGATATCAGGGTATAAATTAGATCCGAGAGTTGGGGGTGGGGGGAGGGAAGACCAGAATTCCCTTGAATTGTGTTTCCATGCAATATTAAGCATAAAGATCACCTTGTATTCTCTTTGCCTTCTAAAAGCCATTATTATGATGTTAGAAGAAGAGGAAGAAATTCAGGTACAGAAAAATGTGTTTTTTAATAGCCTACGCGATGGTGCTTGGTGAGTCTTGGTTCTAAAGGTACCAAATGAGGAAGCCAAAGTTCTCAAACTGCTGCATACTTTGACAAGGAAAATCTATTTTTGTCTTCCGATCTACATGTATGACCTAAGTCAGGTAAATACGCCTGGTTTACTTCTTTTACATTTTTTATGCAGACAGTCTGTTATGCACTGTGGTTTCAGATGTGCAATAATTTGTACAATGGTTTATTCCCAAGTATGCCTTAAGCAGAACAAATGTGTTTTTTTCTATATAGTTCCTTGCCTTAATAAATATGTAATATAAATTTAAGCAAACTTCTATTTTGTATATTTGTAAACTACAAAGTAAAAAAAATGAACATTTTGTGGAGTTTGTATTTTGCATACTCAAGGTGAGAATTAAGTTTTAAATAAACCTATAATATTTTATCTGAACAATGATTTCATTGTTTTGTTCTGGAGGATCATGTTAACAGATTTCAGTTTATACACTGGGGTAGAGGGCATCTCAGAAGCATGTTAAAAAGCCAACTTGTTCTGAACAGAGGTTGTAAAAGACTTGTTTTTTTAAGCTACTGTTTTACAATCAGTACTACCAGAGCTGAGTACTGAAAATTATCAAATTTAGAAAACATCTGGTCTGGGTTGCTCTACAAATGTACATAAAACTACATAAGAGCAGTTTTCTTATTTGAATGTGATTTCCCAGGTAGAAACAGCTCAATTATTCTGTTCAGTTTTAATATGAATATTAATAAACATACACATTTCAGTTTCACATTTAAAAAAATCTTCATGGTTTGTCTTTAATTAAAAGTAAGTGAAAATATACAAGTTTTTTCTCTCTGGAGGCCCGCTCTTGTGCTCCCCACGAATTTTGAGTAACAAAGGAATCTTCCCCAGGCAGACAACCATAAGAACAGTTCCACAGTGCCCTCCTGAGGATTAAAGGATCTATTCATTCTGTTTGTGACAGGGTGTGTGTGTGTGTGTGTGTGATCCCCAAAGAGGTCTGGAACAGCTTCTAGCAGTTTATTTTAAAACTTCCTCAACTCCTCTGAAGACAGAAATTGACTAGAAAATTAAAAATTAACTCATTCATGGTGCTGAGAATGTGGCTCAGTAGTAGACTCTGCCTGAGTAAGATTCTTGTTTGATTCCCCAGCACCTTCAAAATTATTTGAATTAACAAAACTAATTATAAATTTTAAACTTTTAAATGGTGTTTTTGCAAGTTCATAGCATTTTATTTCTGTTTTTTTTCTACTTAGTTATGCATGACAATAGAATGCACTATGACACATCATCATACATAAATGGAGTATAACTTCCCATTCTTCTGGGTGTACATGTTGTAGAGTTACACCAGTCATCTAGTCATATCTGCACATGGGGTCATAATGTCCAATTCATTCTACTATCCTTCATACCCCTCTCCCCTCCATTCCCCAATGCCTAATCCAAAGTAACTATTCTTCCCTGGCCCTCCCCCCAATATTTCTGTAGTTTTTTAAGTTTCAAAACTGCACTATTATAATCTCAAGTGTCTTGAAATGGGTGCCCAAGAGAGTCAAGTAAATTCATTTGTGGCTGTCACAAAATGGAAAAGCATTTGTGACACTTGTTGACACCATAATGGTGATATGAGTGACTAACAAGATCATCAGGGGGACAGAGCTGACTGTCATTTTCCTTAGAGTGCTTATTAACTGTCCATTATATCTAGTGTCCAGAGTTGTGTTGGCTCCATTGTTCACTTATAAATGGAATGAAAAGAAATTCACGAGAGGCTCGTGGTGGATCAACACAAGGTATTGTCTTTGGCTTTTAGGAGTCCAGCCCAACTGGAAAGCATGGCATGTGTCTTTGCTTAAAAGAAAACAGGTGCATCAATAGGATGGAATTTTATGTAGCCAAGAACATATTCAAAGCATACTTAATGACATAGAAAATGCTCATGGTATGTTAAGTGGAAAAAAAGCAGGTTAGAAGACTATTAAAATTTCAAATGTGTGCCTTTCTTTGTGTGTGTGGGGGGGATAGAAAAAAAATTGAAAATTAACAATTAATTGGTAATTAAGAGAAAAACCTGGAAGGAAATGCCAAAATATTAAATTTTCCTTTTCTGCAATTTCTAAATATTCTAAATCAAGTGCAATATGTAAGGAGAATTTTTTAAAAATTAAAAATATTTAGACTTTTTTTCAAAAGAGTAAAGTTATAGACACATTTTCCTTGGTATTAAATTGTGTTTGTTGCTCTTAAAATAATCCACTTATACAGAAATTTCTGGCAAAGTGTTGATGTATGAATATGTTTATTGAGTGATTGTTGCCATCTTTTCCGCTAAGTGCCTGTTACCCCATAGAAGAAACATCATGATAAACTGTCAAAACATTTTAAATTGATTCAAAATTTTCTGATGTCATAGGGAAACATTGCTACACATTAACTTTTTGTAACCTGAGAAAGAGAGCTTCAATATCAAAAATGAATGAGGAAGATTTCCCCAAAATGTAACAGAACAAAATGCTATTTAACACACACAAATACTTCAACTATTTGGTCTTACACGTATCAGTTCTGCACTCCTAGGTGTTCTGTCATTACGGTGTTATAGAGCCATTTACACTGTATAATAAAAGAGCACCTAATAATTGAGATGCCTGCTTATTATAATTTTTTCCTTATGACATTTAATTTTATATGGCTTGTGTGCCTACAACCACAAAGGATTAACAATAGTGGTTTCTAGCAAAATATTCTTTTGACAAGCATACATACCTGACTCTTCCAACCGTGTTTCGATTTGTAAAACTAAAACTGGACTTTCACCATCACGAGTATGGTCGGGGAATAATTCTTTTCAAAAATTATTCCTAATTTTAGAAATGGAGATTAACAATTTTTACATACAATTTCTCAATTTCTTTTACTTTTTTTTTGTACCGGGGATTGAACCCAGGGGAGTTGAACCACTGAGCCACATGGCCAGCCCTTAAAATTTTTGAGAGCTGGGGTTGGAGTTAAGTGGTAGAGTGCTTGCCTAACAAGCATGCATGAGGCGCACTGGGTTCAATCCTCAGCACCAAATAAATATAAAATAAAGATATTGTGTCCACCTAAAGCTCAAAACTAATTTTTTTTTTCTTTTAAATTTTTGAGACAGTGTCTCACTAAGTTGTTTAGGGGCTTGCTAAATTGCTAAGGCTGGCTTTGAACTCAGGATCCTCCTGCCTCAGCCTCCGGAGCCACTGAGATTATAGGCATGTGCCACGTCACCCAGCCTACATACAATTTTTTTATATATGAGGAAGCCTAAGTGAGGCCATCTTTATATTATAGAAACAACTCCACAGAGAAAATATTAAAATAAGCAATAAGCCAGGTACAATGATCCACACCTGTAATCCCAGAGCCTCAGGAGGCTGAGACCCGAGGATTGCAAGTTCAAAGCCAGCTTCAGCAATTTAGTGAGACCTGTTTCAGTAAAAAATAAAAAGGGCTGGGAATGTGACTCAGTGGTTAGGTGCCCCTGGGTTAAATCCCCAGTAGCCAACTGAAATAAGATTAAAAAAAAAACATGCAGTGATGGTACCTGATAAATTTTGTTATATGGGAGTATATGAATTTTGTAGTCTGCATCAGCCAACCTGTTGTATGTGCTTCTGACACTGCATTGAGCACAACTCACACGCATAGATAGATTTGTACACCAGATCCGCCCCGCACACACACCTCCCTCTCTCTCCTTCTGTCTTATACAGACATAGGCACCCCCCAGTTCTACATAAACCCATTTATGGTTTTATCATTTTTGTCATTATATTATTTCTTTTATCTTATGTATTTGCTTTAGTTCTTTGTATTTTCTGAGCACCTTCCACAGGTTATTGTATATTGACATGGTTTTATAGTACAGAACTGAAGGTATGTCTGCCTCCTAAAAGTTGTTTATGAAACTATATTGTTCACACAGAGCCATTCAATATTTCACATAAAACCACTACAGCCTGTCCACAGAGCAGAACAGTGTTTAACCCTAGAAAACAATTGTCAAAATCAGAATGCTGTATGAAAGTAAAAGTAGTTTTTGTTGTTTTTACTTTTTTTTTTTTTTTTTTTTACATTAAGTGAAACTAAAAAGTTGGAAACAACCTTTGGGCACAAGGTATATACCAAAATAAATCTTAGTGAATTTTTCACCATCTCTTGAAAAATGAATGAACTCTTAAATCCTCTTGAAGTGCTTAGTGCTTCAAGGCCTTTGTCAGTGTCAAAACAGCAGGGAGGAAGAGCGAGAGAGAAAGAGAGAGAGAGAGAGAGAGAGAGAGAAACCAACTCCAACTACTAAACTATTGGCAAAAACACGGAAAATCTTTCAGGCTGGTATCAAGACTGTTACAGCCAGGTGACTTGTTTGGGGAGGGAGGGGCGCTGGCCCGTCAGTCAAATTGCTTCTCTGAAACCACGTACATTCTGCAACCATCCTTTTAATCGTTTTTTTTTTTTTTTTTTTTTTCAGGATGCCCTTGATATAGTATCACTTTTCTGATTGCTTTAGTCTCCTCAACACCTAGATGAGTCAGCATTTTACAACAGGTCCACCCAAATGTCCTTCGCTTGTTCTTAGAGGAAAAGGAGGAAATAAACAGAAACTCAATTTAATTACAAGAAAATATAAATTCACGCTGACCTGGTCCCTTTGAGAGCTCCTCCAAGTTCACCTAACAGCATTTTTCACTGATGAAACATAATAATTAAGAGGATACCACAGAGTGTTAGGACATTTGCTACATTTGTTATGCTTTTATGTTTCTTTCCTGTCAGTGTTACATGTTATCTGAGCAAAGCAGGAAACAAGAGAAATGGGTTTTTTTGTTTTGTTTTGTTTAATGGAGCCTAGGTGGATGGAAGGGGAAGGGAGAATAGAGCCCTGAGTTTGGCAATTATCTAGTTAAATCAACTACAGCAAACAGTCAAACCTGTCCAATCTGAGGCCAGGAGATGGAGTGGATTATCTCATATAGAATATTTTAATCTGTACTGATGGTTACTACATAGTGGCCAAATCCCCATGACACACAACCAATGTAGTCAGCTGCTACACCTGAACACCCACATAAAAGCCTTTAAAGTAGATAATAACTACAGAGAAATTGAAGGCAGCCTAGACACACACTTGCTGAAAGCCTGAGAAATAAATAAATTGGTGCAAACTACAAAATCAGAGTGTTCTAGATTCAACCAGAAAGGGTTCTGAGAACAAGGGGCAGGCACGTCTTGTGTCTAGACAATCCAGGTCCCTTTTTGTTGGTATATAATAGTCCCTTACTTCTGCACAGCACCGTGAGCTTTTTTTCTAAAGTATTTGCAACTTGGGTTATGTAATTGATCCTCACACCAAGAGGCAGAGGAAAGAATTTTTTTCCCCGCCCCTCTGCCCACTATACAGATTGAAAATCGGAAGTTCCTTTCACAGGTTAGCATTCTGTTCTCATTCCTGCTGACACACTCAAAGTACTCCTCCTCTAATACTTTAGTCTTCATCTGCTGGGCAGGTAGGACTACAGGCAAAACAGATACACACCCACTTCAGAAGAATTTGCTAACATCCAGGTTCTTCCAGTAAACCCGTTTAGAATCACTAGCCCGAGACTTTCTGTCTCCATATCAGTGTGCTACTTCCTTTGTCAAGGAAGCCTGGGGGAAGCCCAAGGTTCCTGCGCCTTGTTTCTCAACCCAGTTAGGAACTGGCTCACTGTTCCATGCACATAATCTTCCAGTTCTGAGCTGGAAAAAAAGGGTCTCATTTCTGACCCCACCTCTGGCCCGGCACACAGAGCTGTCCTGGTCATACAGATCCAGTCACCCCTTCCAGCCCCCATTCTTTAACTTGCCAATCCCCAGGGCCTATGGATATACACATTTAATGTGGTCATTCCTGCAATGATCGCCCCCACCTACTTGTCTAGTATCCTCTCCAGTCACACCTTAGATAAACTGGCCATGCTAAACTCTCAGGCCCAAGTGCACCTTGCCTTTCCTTGAAGACATCTGCTGCTTCTGGAAAGACCCGTATTTGCCTAATCAGGGCTCCTGTATCCCTTGAAGTCTATCTCTTTACAAGACAACTCTGGGGGCCCAGCATGGTGGAGAATGCCTGTAATCCCAGCAACTCAGAGGCTGAGGCAGAAGGATTGCCAGTTGGAGGGCCAACCTCAGCAACTTAGCAAGGCCCTAAGCAATTTAGCAAGACCCTGTCTCAAAAAATAAAAAGGGCTGGGGGTGTGGTTCGGTGGTTAAGCCCTCCCAGGTTCAATCTGGTACGCTCTGTGCTACTTGCTTTAGATCTGTCAACACATATCCTTATATATTGCAAGGCTTGATGGGTCTGGCTCTCCCAACAGACATGAACTTTTGAAATGCACTGGAGTGTTCCTTTTTTTTTACCCATAGGTTCTGGACTCAATTGAATACAATTAATCATTAATTGAATATTTAGCCAAAGAAAAACCTGGCCTCTCCTTTTAGAGGATTCTTCCTGGCCAGGTGATTCTCTGCATTGATTCTGAAAAGAGTTTCATTTGTTTGAGGGGTTTCCTCTTTGTTGGGGAAAGCAAATCTGTGTCCGGCGACTGGTGGGGCTGGTTAGGAGGAGTGGCAGTGACCATACAGTACTTACAAGGAATGGTTGCAGATCACTGGGCAGGTTCTCCAGGAAGCCAAAACTGGGGGAAAGGAGATATTTTATTCTTTTCCTTGGAATGACTGTCATTCCCTTCAAGGGAAAAGTATGTGTACTAAGAACACAGAACAAACAAGACTTTAAAAAATCGTGCCTGATGCAGGGCTCAGTGGTGTAGGCCTATAATCCAGGTGATTTGGGAGCTTGAGGCAGGAGAGTTGCAAGTTCAAGACTAGCCTCATCAATTTATCAAGGTCCTAGGGCTTAGTGAGACCCTGTCTCAAAATATAACATTGAAGAAGGGGCTGGGATGTTGCCAAACATAAACCAAAAAAAAAAAACTCTGCACCTTAAAAACTTCAAGAGGGCTGGGGATGGGGGATGGGGGATGTAGCTGTTTTGTCCCATAGGCACAAGGCCTTGGGTTGGATCCCAGCCCTGGGGATTTAAAAAGCTTCAAAAAAGCTCTTTCCATTCTACTCTAGGCTACTGGGTGGGCAGACCCCTCTTTCTGCTTGGGTGACGGTAGTTTTCTGATATCTGGACTAGTCTAAATACACTGACTCTAAAAACTAGGGCATGAGATTGACAAATGCCTCTGCCCCTGAGGCACAGCTACACTCAGGGAGGAATAGATAACAGGTGACAAGGACCGGAGCTGTACAATTCCATAGGAATCTAAGCAGGAAAGGGGCTTCAAGAAGATTAAATTCAAATTGAAAACGGAGGCCTGGGTAAAGGTCTGGGCTTGTTCAAGGTCACATTAAGCTGGCCCTGAGCAGTGAGCACTGCCTTGATCTGGTTTAGCAGGCCCACGTGGATGGTTCCCTCCTCTCTAGTGCTCTCACCAGACATCCAAGACAGGCATAGGCACTGAGGTCCCCCTGGAGAATACAGGAGCCATTCTCTCAGTGTGACATAGCCTGCCACCTTTGTTCCGATGTCTCTTTCCAATCAATTCCATTCCAACGTGTGGAATCTAGTCAAGGGCCCACCTTGCTAGCCATTATGCAAGGGCAGGAGAACAAAACACAAGTAAAAATGTATGAAATGTGCCATCTACAGATATTTTTCCTTAGTACAACTGCTCTGGGAAAAGTTCTCTGTGTATTCAATGAAAAGCGGAATCCGAGTCCTTGTTTTTTAAAAAAAAATTATCTCTTTCAGGAAAGTTCTTTGAAAGACTCAACCACAACCACATTCACTGTAACAACACACACCGTCTTTCCACATGTGTGTGTGTGTGTGTGTGTGC